TGAGAAGCCACATCAACCTAATCTTAATACAGATGGTTTAAAAACTCACTTTTGTGATGATAACTTCTTGCTTCTGGCCAAGTCTATGGCATCTGTCAAAGCACTGATCTTCAGCAGCAGGATTCCAGGCCTAACAAGAACATAAGTTGCTTTGTTACTCCCCTGATCTGTTGAGTGTTCTGCATTAGTCCTTTCATTTCAGTATTATTCATTCATCTTTTTCTGACTAAACATTTTTTGACTGAATTCAGACACTGACGTTGTCAATATACCTATGGAAAAATCCACCTCCCCAATCACTACACTGATAAACAGGCACTCTCCCCATCACTGCACTTCCACTGCACTTCTAGTACCCAATACAGGGTCTGATGTGTGTTAGCACCCAATATAAGTGTCTGTTGATTACAAACAATTTCTGCTTTTTCTTCCGTTTTAAAGTGAATTTATGTGTGTTTAAACAGAGGAAAAGGTTTTTTCCTCTAGTCCAAAAAGCTTACTTTTATTGATGCAATTTTCTGTATCTATGTTTGAAATCAGTTTGACTTCAAAACTGAGCTAAAAAAGTAATATTAGCTAATTAAGATAGACATTATCATGGGGACTGTCTTAAGTTGAAGAATAAAATGATGAAGCAATGAAAAGGGAGGAATAACTACAAAGATACAGAGTTCTTTAGAAAGAAAATAAGTGGCTTTTAAATAAAATCATAAATTGTTGGAATAAGGATCATTACATTTTAAATAAAAGAGATGATTCCTGAAGCTGAAAATGGTATTTTGGGTACCAGGAACATTTTCCTAGCAAAGTACCAGCTGAAAATAAAAACAAACTCATAGATGCATATGTAGGTTTATAGTACAACTTATGCTGTTATTTTCTTTTTTAAGTTCCCTTGGGACCTAGGGATAGGGAAGGTTTTGCTATTAACTTGCTGTAATTTGAGTTTTGGGTTCTTTTTTAGTATGGAGGTTAGATTTAAGGATATGCTTAGCTTATGATTTTCTAAAACTGACAGCTATCATATTTTGTGAAGATTCTGTATTTCACAATTAGACACATTTTTGAATCATTATACCAAGAGACCATGTATAATGTTTTTCTGTTGACTGTATTTTTTATACAGAAACCTAATGACAAGCTGGCAATATATAATATATCTAGTATGACTGCCAGATATCCAATTTATCTCGTAAGATAAAACTGATAGCTCCTATTCTCACATGTAGTAATTAAGGAAGCAATTAGCTTCATCAGAAGCTCATAATGGACACCAAAATATCACCTTAACTCTCATACAATGCTTCATGAAAAGGTAAAAGATTTTCATGAGCACATTTTTTTTTATTAAATCTTATTATTTTTCTGG